TAGAAATGTTGTATGTTCAGAGAATGAATTTCAGGCACTTACCCTTTATTGCTTACGTAGACTGTAATCCAGTGGCTGGCTATACAGTGTAACACTGAGGTTGGAAGAAACAAAATGAAACGCCAAAACTTCCATGTAGGGTTTTAATAACAAAGAACAAAACAAACAAACAAAATGACAACACCACGGCTCGAACAGCATTATTAATTAATTGATTTACACGCGACAGCGTACCGAAATTCAGGGAATGCGCGCTTTATACAAAATTTGGAAAACTTTATCTAGGTATTATTAAATTTAATTAACTAGCCCGAGACTCTAATCTAAAACTAGGTCGACTGCTCAATGTGAAATCTAAGGAAGAACTGCCTTTCTTGCAAATCCTTCTCGAATTCCACACTTCGCTTCGCTACGCCCATTTTTTGTTTCCAGAAGTTTCGGTTCTTATCTTATTGGCGGGGATCCTGAATGTCGGGATGCTCTGGCATAACTATGCCATGTTAATAATTGTCTAACGGTCTGAATTTATATTTATATAAATAATTATGTGACTTACAAATAACCCTAGCCTTCCTCTAGCGACTCCGTGTAGCAAATACGGGACGGATTAGTCGATCTCATTTAATCTACTCTTATAGCTTGGAAAATCCGTCAAAAAACCAGCTACTTAATCTGTTACTTTCTTTTCCAATTACTATCAATTTACAATTTGATTTAATTCTACTTTGGAATCTCTACGCTCTTCTCGTTATTTCGCGCGTTATTAAAAAGATGGGTTTCTACGCGGCGCCTCCCAGACGCAACAGATGACTGTCACATCCGTTCCCAGAACTAATAAATACATTTCCACGCGTCCCGGCTTTTGTTACAATATATATATTTCCTTTGGAAATCTATGAAGTAATGTAGTTCATTGTTCTAAAAATTATGAGACTCTACGTTTAGATACTTGTCCGTATGGCTTCCCTTTTGACAGATACCTAAGTAAGAAATAGTGCCGTTTTTAAATCAAATCGAACTCGAGACATCTTTACTGCCCTTGTTTATCTTCTCCTCGGGAAACCCCAAAATATTCTAAACTGGTCCACCCTATACATTTCTTGCTAATCTAATATTTATTAGCACATTTCGCTTATGGCGAAACTTTTCTTACGCGATCCCCACCGCGTTGGCGCTCATAAAATTTGCATGGGCTCTAATTGTGTCCAGACGCTGCCTCATACCGAGCGTTGCTCTATAAAACGCCGGTGAATAATGAATGACGACGGCTCGGTGGGACCCAACTAAATGTCAGGGGTAACCGGGAACGCTCCAATCCGTGGGAGTAATGTCATTACTGGTTACCTCTCGGCGACGCGAATTACCGCGATAATTGGGTTATAATTTTATTTTTGGAGCGGCGTGGTTTTCGCTTAAATGACTTGACAGTCGGTGGGTATCGTTCGGTAATATCGCAAAGTGCAAGCGATGCCGATCGCACCTCGATTGTGTTTCACCGGAATTAACGACAAAGGGGTTTGGAAATGTGATAAATATTGGCGGCTCTCTCTCATTCCCAGTACCCTGTTACGACGTGTTAATGCAGATTTTTGGTGCAACTGAATATTAGATATCTTATTTTCTAGTGCCCTACTAATAATAAATGTTTTGCCAAGTACAGGATCTGCCAAAAACGAAAGAAACTTCCAAGCTAAATTTTTGTACAGTCATGGCTACCCAAGATATTAAAAGTCAAAGTTTTTTACACATATCTCGCATTCTATGCGTCGGACATCCATAAGGTCAATATGTAAATTGTAGAGAATTTAATCTATAAGCATTTTTCCCTAAACCTCACCCTTTTCGAGATATTCAAAGTCAAAGTTTCAAAAAGAAGGCTTTTCGCGAATATCTGGCTCTCATTGCGTTACTGCTAAATATACCCACCCATCTTGCAAATAATTAAATTCTTTATAACTTTTACATTGACTTCATGGACGTTCGTTGCTTAGGAAGCGAGATATTCGCGAGAAACCGTTTTGTCCTTGATTATCTCGAAAAGGGCAAGGTTTTGGGAAAAATTGTGACCAATTTTGTAGATAATTGTATTCTTTACCACTTTCATGTTAACTTTATCGCTATCCAATACATAGGGTGAGAGAGGAACCATGGAACCAACTTTGACCTTGATTATCTCGAAAAGCGCGAAGTTTCGGGAAAAATACGAGAGACCAATATTGTAGATAATTAAAGTCTTTAATGTCAACTTTTTGATGTCCAATGTATTGGGCGCGAGATATTCGCGAAAAATTTACGGTGAGTATCACTATCTCTAAAAACCCCATAAATTCCACGCCTCTCGATATTCGAGAAATTCCATAATTACTCCTAGTAGTGTTTTTGAGAAGAGAAATTTTTCTATGTGCTTTATTTTTTAATAGGAACCGTTCTGGAAGTATTATATATTTTTTATTTATATTACCATTATCACCATTATCGAGCACTTTAATTGAATTGAAAGTAACTAGATTATGTATAGATTTGAAATGTAATTTTGATGTCGAAAAAATAATTGATTTAGAAATTTTGCATATTACTAGGGGTAAATAGCTTTACTACATTCAGCAAAACGCGAAATTTTCTCATTTTCTTAAAAAAAAATCAATTCAACTGGAGGTTATTCAATGGTCGTGGATTTAATTTAGCTCAGGGGAGGGAGGACTGCAATTTTATGTACCTTTGTGTTCATACAGTAAAAATAGATTTAAAATTCATGTTTCTAATTTTGCAAATGATGAAGATTTAAGAAACTGACGAAGATACGGGCGTCGGCAACCTCCCCCGTTGCTTTTGCTGCGCAAATAAATAGTACGGTTTGCTCAAAGGTATATGTCATTTACGTTTCGTCAAAGAGCCTATCGTTCGTAGTATTACACAGAAAGATTCTAGAAAGGTAATGTTTTAATTTTAAAATTAGGTCATCCTCAACTTAAACTTTGTACAGTACCAATGTAGTTTCCAAATATTTATCAAAAGCAGTACACAGCCGTGAAAGCAGAGATAAGAAACTTTTAGAAATTGAAGAAGCCCAGTTAGCTCAAGTCATAAAGCAAAGTACAGATGAATATCTATAGCAAAAAATAATTTAATATGATTATTTCAATTTATTACAGTTTTGATATCTTTCATAGCCATAATATTTAAGGTAACATAAAATTTCAGGACAGTTATTACTTTAGATATACAGTGTGTCCAGGTACTTGATACAAAAAAAAATAGATAGTACAGATACATGAGGTCAAAATAGTATCAGTTCTTCACATAATTTTTTTTCATACGGGCCTTCGTTAACAAGTTACGGGCCCCCAAAGGTGAAAATTAAAAAGTTATTTTTATTTACAGTCCCTAAACTATTAACTTCAGTATGATGAAAATTTAGTGATCGATAACACATGCGTATAGCTTATTTTTGATGTTGTAAGTGAAACTTCATTATGCCTAGAACGCGAGGGACGGACTATGCCCAATGGTTAACAACCCAGAATTTTTGCATAGATGACGATCGCAATCTGCCTGCATAAAAAATTAGTTTCCTGAAGAATTTGCCAACGATATACCCTCTTGGTTCAACTCTAACAGTTTAGGAAATATTTGTGATTTTATGTGCACAGTGCACATTGAGCGGCGCTTCCACCATTTTTTGTTTTTAATTTTTAAATGGACATAATTACTATGTTAGAACCACACATATTTTTAAAATAAGGACCTAGAATATCTTACTGTCTGCTAATTAAGTAATTTTCACTAACAAAATTTGACAAACACACTTTATAAACGTCTGAATACACATCGATATTTGGCGTTGAATACTTACTTTAACTTATTCTTGTTTTTTTTTCTATTTTGTGTTATGTGTAAAGTCCGCATCGTTTATTTCTTACAATTAAATAGTTAAGCGTAGGTCCGAAATATATTTAAATTTTTCAATGATTCTGAAAAACACGTGATACCTACTTGATGAAATACATTTTCAACCTTATTTAGATTACAATGGTGTTAATATTGTTGGTACTGCTTGTAACAATTCACATATTAATTCTCCTTTAATAGAAGAAAACAACTCTTTTCGGTTAATACTTCCGAGAATGGTTACACCGTTAATATGAATTTTCAGGCATACAGACAAATACTTTTTTTATTCAGTTGTATCATATCACAGACAATATAGCTTGGCGATAAGCTATATTGTCTGTGGTTGTACCTGCTCATTGTAAAACTAATTCTGAAACAGGTTCAAAATTCAGAAGCGGCGCATCGTACAGTCCGTACAATATTCGTTGAGATAGAATTCCAAGAAAAGAATAAGCCAACAAAGTTCTGTTATCGGAAGTACTGTAACAATTTACCGCGGCAGGTGGGTGCCTTGAAATTTTTCGCCTTATTTTTACAAATTGAAAAAATATATAAATAATTAAACTCGTTATGCATTATATAAGTATACACGATAATCTTCGACTAGGAATTAAATTCCTGTGTTTAATTTTTCACCTCCATTAATTTATGTTAATAAGCAATTGCACTGAAAATGCACAGGACTATACACTTATGAAAAGACATGATTTAGTATTTGCAAAACAGTATGCACTGCCACGGTGAACGTCACGCCGCTAATGTCTTTCTACCTCGAGTGTCGAATGCGGTTAATTCCAATAACGCAGAGGTCTTCTTGGAATTCTATATCAAAGAATATCGTAGGTACAGACTGTAATACCAATAAATTTGTTATAATTTGAAGAATGCCTTTATATCTCACTTGCCCTCCTTGTTACGCCCCTGTATCCAACTGTGGTCGCTTCCTCTGAGGTTTATAAACGATTACACATTTATATTTCGATAAATTACTACGTGATGAGAATAGACGTCTTTTATCCTGTTCTATTTGTCTGGGCTGTCCGGTCCAGCAGCGTTATAACGCTCCCAGGCACGCACGGGCTAATGTTATGTGATTGTTAATGTTTCAGAGCCAGATACAGAGATCGTGGGCGGACCTGAGCTGTTCATTGATCGAGGAAGCACCATCAACCTCACCTGCGTCGTCCGGCACAGTCCCGAGCCGCCCGCTTACATTTTCTGGAACCATAACGATGCTGTAAGTACACAGAGAGACACCTGTCCACCGACTCGGCCGCCCCCCTCGCGCCGCAAACTATATCAACAACGCTCACTTTGATCTCGGAATTAATACAGAGGGTTATTTGATGCTAGCTGCGACCTTGCGTTGAATGCAGAGGGCTGGGGGCGCCATATCACTGCTTCCTGGAGCGTCCGTAGACGCACACAGGTTGTGTCACGACGATTCTTTGTTAGAACAATCGTGCTATTGTACAAGGTGTTTCTTAATACCAATGCCAAACTTCTGTAGAATGTTCCTCCAGTTGAAATATACCAAATTTGCATACAGGGTGTTAATGATAAGTTTTGCCAAACTTTAATGGCGCATTCTATCGATGAAAATAATCAACATTTGCCCTATAAAATTTTTTGATAGGACGCTACGGAGATAAAGGGTGTTAAAGGTTTCAAATATTTATTTGATTTTTCCTGTAACTTCACTGGCAAAAAATATTTGGTGATAAAATTTGGGGGATGGCTATTTTTTCAAGGATAACTTATTCCAAAATATACTCCAGTGGCGTAGTTATTGAGGGAGTGGGGAACCTTTTTAAAAAAAATCATACGCCACTGGTTTTTTAAATAATTTTAAATGTTGTTAAAATGTACAATCAATTTGTGGTAATAAAGTATTCTTGTAAAGTATTCGTACAATTTACTGGTCTTTAGATAATTGGGAAATAAATAAGAACATACTTTAGTACCTACGTTGCTATTTATCATTTTCTATTGACTTCTAAATGTGTAACAATAAATTCAATAATATTTTGAGAGATTTCAACACACTATACAACGCTACTGTTTTGTATGTTGCAAAAAGTTTGTTATTTTTCATACAAATAATGAATCAGCAGATATACAAGCTGAACGACTTTATAGATAGACTTTTCCAAATCGACGTTGTCCAACAAGGAATACTCTTTCAAGCGTTCACCGTCGAGCTCGTGAAACTGCATGTTTGTCTCTACCAAAACGTCGAGCAAGAGAAGGACCTGTTGGTACAGTTCATTTGGAAGACAAAATTTTGGAATCTGTAGATGAAGACCCATCTACCAGTACCAGACAGATATCAACAGTATCATGTATCACATGTAACAATCTGGAATGTCTTACGCGAGCAGCAATTACGCCCATATCATGTCCAACGAATTCATGCATTAAATGAAAATGACTGTCAACCGAAGATTGAATTTTGGCAGTGGTTTTTACAGCAATGCGAACAACCCGATTTTCAGTTATTAATATTATGAAGTGGAATTCACAAGAGAAACCATTTCGAATTGTCATAATAACCACCAATGGGCGGATGAAAATCCGTATATTATTTCCCAACGTCGATTCCAAGAACAGTTTTCTCTGAATGTTTGGGCAGGCATTGTGGGCGATTACTTGATTGGTCCTTACTTTTTACCCAAAACCCTCGATGGTAGAACTTATCTAAGGTTCCTACAATAAGAATTACCACTACTTCTAGAACAAGTGCTATTGAGGTTGCGTCAATTATTGTGGTATATGCATGATGGGGCGCCACCTCATTACAACCTTGCCGTTACACAGTTGCTGAATAATCAGTATCCTAATCACTGGATTGGTAGAGAAGGACCCATTGCTTGGCCGGCTCGTTCCCCCGTCCTTAATCTCTTGGATTACTTTTTTGGGGCTACCTCAAAGCTATGGTATATCGTACTCCAGTTCCCAATGTACAAGTACTTCGACAGCGTATTGTAGAGGGTTTCGCAACCATAGACAATGCGGCTGGAATTATGAGGCATCTAAGACGATCAATGCCGAGACGCTACGCAGCATGCATTGCATCCCAAGGACAGCATTATGAACATTTCTTGTGTGTTGTATAGTGTTCTGAAATCTCTCAAAAATATTAGGTATTAAATTTATTGTTACACATTTAGCAATAAACAGAAACGTAGGTACATAAGTATCTTCTTATTTGATTTTCCAATTATCTAAAGACCAGTAAATTTTACGAATACTTTACAAAAATACTTTATTGCCACAAATTGATTGTACATTTTAAAAACATTTAAAATTATTTAAAAAACCAGTGGCTCCTCCCCCAATAACTACACCAGTGGAGTGAATTTTGGGATAAGTTATCCATGAAAAAATAGTCCCTACTAAGAAAATGTCATCCCCCAAATTTTATCACTCAATCTTAATTTGTTACCTGTGTTATAGTTATTTACCTACGGCCACTACTGTAAATACTTAAAAACACACCATCTGCGATCAATGTAAGATTCCTATTACGTACGGTAAAAAAATCGTACAGTTTTCCTAGCAATCGCCTAGCAACGGTCAATACAATACTGTTTGTATTGACCGTTGTTAGGCGGTTGCTAGGAAAACTGTACGATTTTTTTACCAAGCTGTGCGATTTTTTTACCGTACATAAAATAGGAATCTTACATTGATTGCAGACGGTGTGTTTTTAAGTATTTACAGTAGTAGTCGTAGGTAAAGTATAGTACGTAATACGTGGTGTAATGCAATTACGCACTCAACTTTTCCATTCGTGCGTAAAATGCTTTTTACAACACTTATTACGTAATATACTATTATGGTACTAGTGTGTTACGGTATATGTAACGCTGGGAAATGTTTAGCTAATTTTCCCAAGTGACTTATATGACGTAACACACGAGGGCCATACAAAATTTTATCCAGCACTCATAGAACTTCGCTTTAATAATAAATAAATGTAACTTAAAATTTCAAGTTGTCAATGTCAGAAAAAGTAATTTAACGAAATGAATGTATTTTTATATATTACAAAAGATGCGAGTGTCAACCTAAATTGTGTCTGTAACCAAGGGTTTCATAACTCACTAATGACTTATGACTTATAACTCACTAGCGAGTTATATGCCACGTTATTCCTTTAAAACTAAAGAAATTAAAGTATCATTATATACAAGTGTTAGATAAAAGTTATTATCAGTTCAGATGAGGAGAATAGATTGATTTTCGAAACATATTTTGCATTTCCTTGCGGAAAGGTTTATTTTATAAATTTATTAAATATTTTAACAGGTGGCAAAATACCCAATACCTACCCAAAAAAAAATACTCTTGAAATATTTATTGGAAAAATTCTTCAGAATCAAAGAAAATCCTAAATAGCGCAAAACGTTCGAAATTTAACTATTTCAATGTCTGTAATAGACAAAAAAGGGTTTCACTTTAAGTAACATGAAGTAAAAAAAAGGTTCTTCAATTTGTAGTAAAAAGATTTTACTAGTGTGAAATTGACAGAATGTAACTTGAAAAAAGGAATGCACCTTACGATCTCACACCATATCAAAAATTGAATGCTGATCAATCATGTGATAAAAGTTATGGAGATTGCTGTAAACCCTTTCATCTGTCAATATTTTAACAAAATGTTATATAGGTATCTCATCATCAGCTTAGGTTACCTTTTTTTGGTTAAAAAAATATTATTGTTTTGAAACAAGTTGACTGTTATTTCCGGCATAGCCATAAAGGACCGATTCTTTAGAAGTTGACAATGTTATCACTGTCGAGAAACAATGTAAATCTTCAGATATGAATCACTAGATATTTCTAATAAAAAATAATCGTCGTGACACACCATGTTTGATATGTATAGAACTGCTCACAACATCTAAAGTCCATAAGAATTTGACAAACAAAATGAACATTCGTTTAATGCTAATCTTGAATGATTAGTTACTAATTAGAAAAAATGTACGAGGAAAAGTCTTTAAATAGCAAGAACTGTTGAATAGCATTGTCACAAAAGTGCCAGCACAAATTGCTTTTGTTTAATTTTTTGACAGTAATCCTGTTTTGTACACATTTCTTCTAGCTGTTCATAAGCTACAAGTTTTAATCAGGTTTGCAAATGAAAGTTTGAAAGTGCCAAGTTCGAGCATAATGAATAATGCAATACTTCAATTTTCAATGTATGGAGACTACCTAGTGTGCTGGCAGCAGTTGAGAAGCACACTATTCTTTCTGAGGAAACTTCCTGAAGATTCAATCGTATCGCATAATTCAACTTGTACACTAGGATATCACTAGTATCCGAAAAGAAGATCAGCAATGGAGATATGAATCTTGATTTTTTTTATTTTAACATTGATGAAATGTGAGATGACTAGTACTTCCAATTATTGTTTCTTACTTTCTGCTTAGCATAAAGTATCCAAGACGCACTAGCACTTTGGAAGTTTGGAAGTTTATAAAAAGCTTTTTTGTAAAGGGCAAGTTTGTGACAGGTGGACTAGGTAGGAGGACTGTGTCGAAACACATTTCAGTTAGTTTTCTATTAAGATTAAATTTGTTATTTAATAATTTTTCCTCGTATCTTGTCTCCTCTAAATCTTGTATTTTGAAAACAAAGGTAAGGTATATGTCCAGTGATTTCATTCACATTTGATCAACCTGATCCAATTGACCAATGATAAATGACGACGATAACAAATAACTGATGAAAACATTTGCGACCAATACTAAATAAAAATAATATTTATCGTTTGTTTCAGTCGCTCCATCCATGGCTACCCTGACTATTTTCAAAACATGTCCAAGCCTGCTTTGTTACCGGAACTCCTACTTTTTTATAATTTTTAGTGTCATTTGTGAAGGAAAACACTTCAACGAAGCAGAGATTGCACTCGTTATCCTTCCGGGCGAGATCATTTTTTAAGTAAAACTTAAATCTGAATTTTACAACTTCCATTAGAAGTAACGATCCGGAGATGCGCCGCAAGCTGTTAAAAATAAATTAGACGATCCTGGTGTACAGTTGCCCCGCTTGACCCCTCGCTGAACTTGTGTAATTGCCTTTTCCTTCATCAGGCATAATTGCGTCCTATAAATTATGACGCGGCTATAAATCTCTGCCCTTATGCGCGTTTTTATTACAACAATCGCCGGATTTATTACTTACTAAACATTTTCGCGCTGATCTCGCAGATGTTAAATACTCCGGAAAGGAGGAATGGAGCGGTTTCGGGGGACTTTGCTGTTCCTTTTCGGTTGAGTGCTCCACTCGATTGCGTCAAACGCGTTAGCCAGAAAAATCATAAAAAATTCAGATTTTATGGGTTTCGTTAACATTGAAAACAACATTTTTCATATGTTGTGCTCGATTTGTGTTTCTTCTGTCGTCCTGGAAAAAATTTAGTAAATAGGTAACACATAAGCCAGATCTTGTAGAAGTTTTGACAATCGGCTTTTAATTTCTGAATTATCCACTGGCAGATGCATTCTGAAATATGACCTTGAATAAACTGGGGCAACAAATCAAATACACTTCACAGTTTTTCATATCGTTTCTAACTACACTGTAAATATCTATAAATAATTGCTGATTCACTTTTGGTCAATCATGTGTTAAATTTTCAGATAATCAGCTACTCCAGCTCAAGAGGAGGAGTTAGCGTGGCCACAGAGCGAGGAGAAACCAGCAGAAGCGTCCTCTTGATACAAAAAGCTAGGCCATCGGATTCCGGGAACTACCAGTGTAACCCTTCCAACGCTAGACCAGCTAATGTCACCGTTCACGTTCTCAATGGTTAGTATTTTATAATAGAATTATACTGCTATGTGATCTATTAAATAATTTGGACTCCACTGACAAGTCTACGCCGACATCGTAAAAGAATAATGATTGTAACATTTACCCAAAGATACCATAATTACACAGGGTCATTGAAAGTTTCCTAATAACTCGTTAGTGGGTGAGATATCACCTGTAAAACATCTGTCATGTGTCACATCCCAAATATTGCACATAATGCCTACTGGTACAAAGTATTGTTTTGTGCCCACTAGCACTAGGCGAAATAAACTTTTTAACTAAAAATATTGTGGGAAACAAGAGGCTATCACCATTAGTTAGTTAAGTATTCATCTAAACCGCTTCCTCTGATTTTAAATCAAATTTTTGTATTGGAAAATAGTAAATAAAATATATTAGATTGTTTCAAAAAGTACTTACCACTCTTATAAACTTTTCATGTATTGTAAATGTATACCTAACGATTAGGAGGCAAAGTTATATTTTTTTATTTTACCAAAAGATTATATAATTCTTGCCATGAAAGTGATGCAAAAGTGTTATTAAAACACCTGAAGGAACTTAGTTTAGATGATGAAAATTTTGTATGCATAAATATGGAATGGACACATAAAGAAGATGTATTGATTTATCCGTCTCAAATGAGCATTTGGCATTTCTAGATAACTAGATACTAAAAAACGTGGGTTAGAAAAAGAAATATAAAAAAAATGAAATAGAAAAGTTATTGCAACTCAATTTTATTCAAGAAATTAGAGATGAAGCTGTGAAAACCATTCAATCTATTTAAAACAAATTAATATTAAAGTTAGCTCTGTTAATTTGTAATTTTTTTTTTTAGTGTTTCTTGCGTTTGTGTTGTTTAGGTATTATTCTTTTGTCCGGATAATACAAAATACCTTTAGGGCACATCTTTGGGAAAACCAAAGTGGAGATCCATAATTATTTAATTACCAATAGCATGTCTTGTGACAACTTCGAATCAATCTATCGCTATCAATAAAATGATAATGCGATTGACCAAACAACAAAATATATTACAGGAGGTGTCTTCTAAGTCAAATCAACAAAATATCAAAAAAACTTACCTTTAGCCAAATATTTTTTTCTGTTGAGGCTATTGGACCATTTTAGACATCAGTACTTAAAACAATTTATTAAGGGTGAGACCAGATGAGTTGATGTTTTGGTGTCTTACTACCAGTTAAAGGTATCGTTTAGAGTTTCAACCTTATTGAGTGAAAATATTGAAGAGAAAACTGTCGAATTCAGTGTAACTGAAAATTTATACTCCAAATATCTATTCTATTGGATGAGTTGATTATTTATACAATTATTTTAATTCTTTGCCATTACTGTCATAATTAAATTGTAATAATGCACACATATTAATCAAATTATGTTGTTACAGTGAAAATTCAGTCAAAAAAGTAGTATATACCTTTTATAAATTTTGTCTATACTTTGTCCAAAAATAAGCCTACTTAAGCCTACAATTGGTTTGAAACTTTTATTGATCGAAGGCCAATATATGGAAACGTTTTGCAAAAAAATCTATATGATCGACAAATCAGTGATCGATGAAATAGTGATAAACAAATCTCTGTGTAATAGATGGAAATCTATCAAAAAACATTTCACATAACGACACAATATTTCAACATCCTTTGATACGCAAATAATGACTGGCTTGGAGGATGTAACACTTGTGAATGTAAATATCTTGGTTATTTAAAAGTTTTATAAAGACTTTCTCAAAAAAATTATTTGTCTGTCAGTAATGGAGAAAACCCGCCCTATCAATGGCATCCTATATGTAATTACTTTATTTTGTTTTCTGTATCTTTCCTAAAGTTTCAGACAGGACGTTACGAATTTCTCTACGTTTTTTGAACGTTTCAGCTGCAAGCTCTCTCCATTGATCGCTTTAGTATGTCCTAATGAAAAGTGACCTATGAATATTCATGTACCGCAGAGGCTTTGCTAGTTTTAAGTACACAAGTCTCTTAATGCCCATTTAAATGAAAAGAAAACTTCAATCAGGAATTTGCAAGGCAAAAGTAGTGGACTTTAGGGATTGTATCCTTACCAACTCAATTCTTAGGGGACAGGGGGACCTTTAAATTTAAGTGTGCCTTGGAAAAACAAAACAAACAAAGGGGGAGATTTATATGTTAGGTTGTTTCTTTGGAGACTGTTTATTGATTTGTTTATTACTTCGTTTTAAATTCCTCAAAACATTTAGCTAATAAGAGGGAAAATTTATTACACTTGAATTGACATTGTCCCAATGGTACGCGAAAGTCCAATATTTAGGAGAAAAAGTGGAGTAGACGAATTTTCCTTTTCAAGGTTGCGCCAGATTTATCGAGATGTTCAAGCTAAAAATATTTTCAGTCCCACTTTTCTTAGTCAGAAGTAAAATAAATTTTTTTTAATGTAACCATATGTTTTTTATATTCATTATGATTCTACGAGAAAAATAAAAGGTAAAGTTACGGAGAGACTGGCGAATTACTTGCGACAAATTTCACGCAAGTGACTTTCATGTTTCTTTACTCTGTTAGCGACAATTGTTGCAATTATCTGTTGGGCAAGTTCTATCTTTCGCAAATTCTCACATTGTTGTTTACATTGTCGGTAACTTTACTCGGGCCAGTTTACTTTGGTGAATGACCCAAAGGAATCTTTCAGTATCTCTAATAATATGGCGCCATGACGTATTCATTATTCGTATGGCAGTTTGTCTCATTTAATGGTTATACTCAGAACAGAAACCGGACCTGTTTGCTGATAGTCAGGAGAGCAACTTATGGTGGTCATAATTTTGCTTAAAGATTTTAAAATCGAACATGCGTAACAGTTCAGAAATTTTATCCGTATATCAGCGATGGATATTGAAGAACTTTTGTCGTAGGAAGGGTTACCCATAAGCAAAGTTCCCAACTACGTACCTCAATTTTACCTACTGAACCTCTAGTGGTAAGATTATGCTTTTTTGTTACTGGTAGGTTATCATCATGAGCATACAGTCTAATTTAAAAAAAAAACGGTCTCTGGAATGCTAGTTATACATTTTAACTTGTCCTTTTTCAATTTAAGGAAGATTAAAAAACGACGTTAAGCAGCTTGCACAATGGGCGACTTTATTATAGTGTTCTTCTCGTCGGACTGTTATTGCCAAAATATCGAAATAAACTGAAAGTAAAGTAATAAATTGCTAATCTACAGTTATGCATGTTTAGACAAAACAAGACACACAAATGAATATAAAACCATTCTCTGCAAAGTTTAAGTTAGACAAGGAAACAAATTCCGTTAGCAAAGCAATGTTATTTACATTTACGAACAAACCTAGAAGCATAACCGAGGCAAAGGATCATACAGAATTTTCGAAAAGGTCAAAGGTTTCGCGATACGTTTACCAGGTAAGATTGCTTATTAATTTTTCATACTATCTAGGCGAATGCAAACTCTCTGAAAAAAAATTAAATCATTCTGGTCGTAAATGAATGTTAAAAGTGTTCTTTCAACGATCTGGTATTGCTTGGAAAACTCCTTTTATAAAACTTTTTGTTTCTCGGACAAACTGACATTTCATGTGGGGATTTTCAATTTTCTTATTGCCAGTTTCCTTGAATCTTAACAGTTAGTTGAGTTCCGCATTGATTTAAACCGCACCCCTTAAAATCAATGAAACCCTTGAGACAGGTTGCAGTAATTATCACAGTAAGACAGGACCGACTCCACAACATTTGTAATATGAGACTTGCAAGTAAATACAGAAATAAACACATCATCTACATAAATATTCATGGTGATTTTTAAATATAAATAGAAGATTATTCATCAAATCACTTCATCAAGCCTATTTTTCGAGATACAATTTTTTTAAAGTTTTTGAATAATATTTTTTATACGCAAATATCGCAAAATGTATTTAATGTATTAATGAAACTTATTAGACTAATAATTCAACTAAGCAGAAGTAAAAATTTTGTAATTCGTATACTGTTATATCAACCCGTGGGAATGTATTGGAAGATGGTGTAAAAATATTAAAACTCTCAGAATATCGCGCTTGATTCCTAATTGTATTAAAAAACGATAATCATTGTATTTGAGAATCGAATAATTTAAGAATTTTTACTTATTTTAGTTTCAAACAACCTTTTTACTAATGGTACTGTAGAAAACAACTACTCTGCGGGCTATGGCCAGGTTCAGCATTGAATTACACGCAATATATACTAAACAGCAGAAATCGTTTGCCAGTAGAATCATCAGACATACCGGTATCAATTCATAGGTGAGGTAACCGATGAATGATTTGGTTATATCGATGTCTAACTATTAACATCTTTTGTGTGCGAGTGACATATAACCTGCAAAATATGTCATACCTTAATCATTGTTGCTACTAGCGCAAATCATTGCTTTATATCTACTGATAGAGAGCGACCTACTAATCTGTAGGTACTATGTAAACATGACGAATAATTTTTGCTGTTTACTGGATATTATGGGTGTAATTCAACATTGGATAGTATATCATTAGTTAAAAATGTGTTAGGCTTGGTCTGGCACCAGTCTCTGCTTTCATAGTGAATACAAAGTAGTATGTGGTTTTCTGTCAGTAAGTACAAAACAATGCTTTGTGTCAATAAGCATTGAGTAGTATTGTCAAATCAGATACAAAACAATCTTATTGCACAGTTCGGAAATAAAACAAAAAAATGTATATGAAAATGTAAATTTAATTTTAAATGTAACCATGAACAGTACAAAATATAATAAGTAATGAGGAAATTTATCCCTGCTCGCTCTTACAAAGTATTAGTAAGAGATCACATGATTAACATATACAATGAAAGGCAATGGCGGGTCCCTGTGGAACTCCATAACTCATAACCTGTTAAACAAAGTTATGAATTTCAAATTCTATATTTAAAAAAAAATCCAAATAAGGGAGTATTTGAAATTGGGCGATAGTTTCTCAGTTCATTTAGATTTCCATTTGTTCAACCTTGCTAGCCTTAAAACAATCAAAACAACATTCATTAGCAAGTACAGATTGGGGACTTGACAATAATTAAATCAATAAATTTGTTTCAGTATTAGAGTATTTATAAATCTATATTGTCACCTTTACAATTTGCTTTCAAGAAGGGCTTTTCTACTATCAAAGCTCTTCTGGCAGTTATTGACGAAGTCGTTGATGGTTTTGATAATAATGCTGTTACTTATGCTTCTTTTTTGATCTTTCGAAGGCCTTTGATTGCGTTAATGTCGATATTTTACTTGAATATTATGGCATTGGTAATAATGAATTACAACTTTTTCAATCTTATTTAACAGGCAGGCAGCAATATTTCAGTATACAGAGCACAAAATCTACCTTACTTCCAATATGTAATGGTGTACCTCAAGGGTCAGTATTAGGTCCTGTGCTCTTCCTGATATACATCAACGACTTACCGGTCAATATTCCTAATAGCCCTCTTATGTCCTCTTTGCGGATGACACAACACTGTTGTCTCGTGCTAGTAGAGATATGAGTTCGGGTAGTTTGATTGAGGTGGAAAATTGGTTTTCAGAGGATAAATTGAAGCTAAATGTTTCCAAAATTCAACACCTAACATTTACTTCTAGTAAAATCCAACCCGAATCGGATGTAAAGTATTTGGGTGTTACTCTAGATTCTAGTCTAAACTGGACAGCACATATTGATAGCCTATGTTCAAAACTATCAACACAAATATTCCTCTTAAGACAGCTCCGACCTTCAGTTGATAACAGAGTAATGAGAATGGTGTATTACTCGTTAGTTCATAGTCATTTGACATATGGCGTTGCACTTTGGAGTAATTCTAGTAAAGCCCAAAAAGATTTCATTCTGCAGAAGGTTGCGGTTCGTCTTATTGAATTTTTCTAGAAAAGCCATAATGAACTTCCATAATAATCATGTATGGGCGGACGAGAACCCAAATGCAATATTAGAAGGCCGTCATCATCACCAGTTTTCACTTAATGTATGGGTCGGAACTGTGAGAGACCACTTAATAGGCCCTCTTTTTTTACCACCGAGGCTTACTGGAGACGTTTATCGCCGTTTTCTTGAGGATGAATTGCCCGTACTTTTGGAAGACATACCATTGCCGTTAAGGTTGTAAATGTATTTTATGCACGATGGTGCTCCACCCCATTTCAGTTTAGCTGCACGTGAATATTTGAACAATATCTACCCAAATCGCTGGATACGTCGAGGAGGCGCTCAACCCTGGCCACCGAGGACACCCGACTTAAATTCGTTGGATTTTTTCCTTTGGGGTCACCTAAAACATTTGGTTTATACGACTCCAGTGCAAACCATACACGAATTAAGAAACCGCATTGTCGCATCCTGTGAAACAATTAGACACAGCCGGAATATTAAAACGGGTTCGCCAATCAATGTGTCGTAGGGTACATGCCTGTATTAGAGTTGAAGGTGCACATTTTCAATAACTGTTGTAACGCCTGTGTATGTAAAGTATTTTTCATATCATTTCTGTTTGTTAAATATTTTTTCTTATGTTTCTGTTAATATTAATTATTTAAAAAAATATTATTTAGTGAGTTTCTCAGCTTGTTACATTGTTTTTCCTTCAAATGTATTGTCAAAGGTGATTAGTAAATAACTAAAACATTGAATTTCTATTTTTCTGTTCTACTTCCCTTAAGAATGTGCAAATGAAAGGATATAAATTTTTTGCTAGAAAACGAACATACCAAATTTCAAACAAATCGGAATTAAGGTTCACCAGATATTAGTAAAAACCTTGTATTTTCTGTAAATTTCAACACCCTGTATCTCCGAAACGAAGCATTTTCGGATATAGGTTTATAGGAGCTTTCTTTCTTATTTTTGGTCAAGGAAACTCCCCCTGAATTTTTTCGCAATATTAATGGGACACCCTTGTATGTATACCAGTACTTTTATAAGTACCTAACTTTATGACTGAAAATGTACTTACGTATGTGAGTAGTCAATAAACTTCTATTCTATTCTATAGAATACGCAAATTGATTTCTTAACACTAAAATGTCATTTCGAACTATTGTTTCCGGTTTTGGAAAGAATGAAACCAGTGGCGCATTGCAATGTTTATAAATATCTTATTCTTGATACTTTGAGATGAGACTTTTTTTAAATAACTGAAAAAATCGTATTATTTCTTATCTGCACAGAATCAAAATTCATCTGCTTTCCTTTTTCAGGTGAGCACCCCGAGGCCATGCAGCACGGAGGCAACCAGAGGATGGGTCCTTCACTGGGCGCGCTGGCCTTCATCTCGTACATTCTGTTGGCTTACTGTTAAGTTTCAGACTCTCCATTTAGTCGTTCAATGCTAATGGTCAGTGTCGACGATGTGCGTGTTACTACTAAAACTAATTTCTATTATGCTCTGGCGAGGTCTGCTACAGCCATTCAGCCCCAGCGTGGGCACAGTGGGAGGGATAAGGGGGTTGGATGAAATTCTGAGAGGTGAAATGTAAGAAGCACAGTTGTCTTGCTTTTGTAGTCGGTAATTCTAATAGTTCTACTACTAAGATGTTGCAAAAAAAACATTCAATCCTGAAACAATCAAAACAACTGTTAGCAACTATAAAAGAACAAATTGATTTACTGAGAATACTACATAAGTGAGGTACATACAATATCACAGAGTTAAAATTCATAGATCTACTGTAAATGCGTTTTAAAGAAATCAATTTTTGCACTGATTTTTTAAAATGGTGCTGTAAGTACCAAAAAATAATTTTATGTTTTCAGTTATTGAACACAAAATTAGTAAATTGGGTGATTATAAAAACAATTGTATGTTTAAAATCATAAATAAAATTTGATACAAATTTATGAGAAAAGTGAAAAGTTTTTACACCACTATTATCGGAAAACCTCGACTATGTTTTTTATTTCTAAATATGTATTAAAAATCAAGAACAAATTAAAAATGAAACTTTTATAGTATGTATCAGTACGACATAAACGATAAATTTTAAGAATAGCCCTACTGTAAATTTATAAGATTATTGTAAATAGGCTTTGAATGTGATAGTAAAGATATAAAATTGCCTATCTTTCAAACTTCTCACATATTGAAAGAGTATTTAAAACATTGAGCTAGTTCATATTCCTCAAACGGGGAATGTTCACATTAATTTCCGACAATTTGGATGTTTCAGTTCAATGACAAAATAAAATCGGATGAAGATAGGCAACCTAAATTACTCAGAGGCAGAATAGTAAGTTGTATTTGATTTCCGCCAGTCGCTGAGGCCGAGGGGTTTTAGCAGTCCTCGCACCTACCTGTGTACATGACCTGCCATTTTTACCACATCCTCATCCTTCTTACTCATAACGATTCACCTTTAGTCTATACCTAAACTAATATAAATTGTATATAAAGTTATATATGGCAAACTTGTAGTACTAAGTCAAAGTTGTTGATTTATTTTCTTAAGTTGAGAACTACACGATTATGTATTATATGAATAAGTACTTACTTGAAGATGATTAAGGATTTTAATTGTTGGTATGTGATGTCACCGACGCTATTAATTTTAATAAACGATTCAATTTTAAGAGTGATTTTTGTCTACTATCCAGCACCAGAGTTAACTACTATTTATGAATGCAATGTATTCATAAGTATTCAGTAAAACATTTGTGTAACGAGTATTCAAGTATTAAATACTTTTATTCGACAATATTCAGTATTCACATTCATCAATTTATACACAGAGATATATTTCATCAGTTTAAATACATTTAAATACAGTGTGTCCCAAAATGACGAAACAAAATTCATATATTTTTTTTCCAGTTGAAATTTAAAAAAATCGCTGAAACAGGTCAATTAGTAAACAGAAATTGTCACTTTTCTGCAACATTTTCTATTTTTTTGACCATATTTGACAGACCTATACCATTACTCACACTTTCTTAATAGGACGCTCTATATTTTATTGTAGGTATAAATTCTAAAGACGAATTCACTTTTTTGTCATAGTTGTCAAAAAATTGGGGAATTAAATGAAAACAATAATTTAATATTCCTTTTTATTTGAATAACATTTGGTGTTGTTTCGAACTTCTTCTCTGATACAATTTTTCAATCCTTCGATAGTGTCTGTTCTGTTCACATACACTTTGCTTTTTAGATAACCCCACAAACAAATCTAGTGGGGTTAAGTCAGGGGAGCGTGGTGGCCATTCAAGTGACCCTCTTCTGCCTATCCACCGATTTGGGAAAACTTCATTCAGGTAATTTCTTAAATTGAGGCGAAAATGTGGAGGGGTACCATCTTGTTGGAATCAGACACCACCAGCGGGTATATCGTGGTGATTAGAGTTAGGAAAAATTCATTCCAGGGCTGGAACGCAAAAAATCCAAATATGTCGCCTGTTAAATTGCCCTCAAAGAAATAAGGCCTCAGTATGCGAATTCCTATTATTCCAGCCCAAACATTCACTTTTTCCGGCCGTTGTGTATGTTTTTTTGAATCTCATGCGGATTTTCTGTGTTTCAAACCCTAGTATTTTGCCTGATCACAGTTCCGTTTAAGCAAAAAGTTGCTTCGTTAGTGAAAATTGTATGATTTTTTAAGTTTGGTTGTCTTTCAAATAAATTTTCTCGCAAAACTGTAACCTTCTCTGTCTGTATCATCTGCCCATAGTTCTTGTAAAACGTTAACTTTGTAAGGATGACAATTTTGAGATTTCAGAGTTCTGTCTTGAAGTTGGCACATTTTTCAAAATAATTTAACAACTAATGAATTGGAACTAAAACGATTCACGTTATACCTAAGGTACTCTGGTGAATTTTACTGTGTTATAGTTGTGTTTTTTTGAGAAAAAAAGCTTTAAAGTATGTAGAAAAATATTAATAAAGTGTAGGTACGTTTTTTAAAGTACAGAAGAAACTATGATTGTTTGAAATAGTCGTCAGTACAACGTAATTGAAAATTTTTTTGACAACTATGACAATTTCTATTTACTAATTGACCTGTTTCAGTGATTTTTTTAAATTTCAACTGAAAAAAAAAATATGAATTTTGTTTCATCATTTTGGGATGTATTTAAGTCGTTCACTATTAAAGAATAGTTAAGTTAGGTATATATTATAGACACAGGGAGATCCACGTAAGTATTATTAGTAGCATTGATAAAAAACCGATAAGCTGTTATTTGTGTATTTCCGAAGATTGTAACGCTTTCAAATTTTTAATTTTTTAATTCTGACGTTTACTATAAAAATTTGAAAAACAATCATTGTAAAAAACTTAGTAATTCTGCAAACTTTCAGTTTAATAAAAAAATTTATTTTCAATTTTGTTTTTAGTCACATTACAACAATCATATTAAAGGAATCGAACGTTTTAATTCAAATGACTTAATATTCTGAAGTACATTTTATTTTAATTTGAAAAATTATCAGAGATAAGGCAACTTTTGCATCACGATAGATTCTGACAGTTCAAGGTTATTAAAAATGGAGTGGTACATCAAAGAACAACGGATTTGCATTGTTGGGCAATATTTTAAAAATAGTAAGGGTTTGGCAGCTACAGTTCGCAATTTTCGTACAAAATATAGTCAGAATAGTGATTTAACTTCATCAACTGTGAAGAAATTAATTGAAAAATTCAGGAAAACCATATCAATTAGTGATGTTAAACACTCTGGCCGTCCTTCAACAAGTCGTTCAACACAAAACATCTAAACATTTCCTGGGAGTGTGCTGAGAGTCCAGGAACATCAATTCGGAACCATGTTCAAGAATTGGACATTTCGAGAAAGAAAGATTTGTATCTTCATGCTTACATAGTTCAATTGATTCAAGAACTGAACCTACTGACCACGCAGAGAGAATAAACTTCTTTGAGTGGATTATGGAACAACAAGTAGGTGCTGACATTTCGAACAAAATCACCTTTAGCGATGAGGCCCATTTTCATCTTGGTGGTTTCGTTAATGGACAAAACTGTCGCATTTGGGGTTCACAAATGCATCTACAACGTGTCACTGTTTGGTGCTGATTTTGAGCTGGATGCATCAATAAAGCATTCTTCATTGAAAATGCGGCTGGTCAGGCAATAACAGTTAATGGTGCTTGCTATCGCGACATGATAATCGAATTTTATGTGCCTAAATTGCAAGATATGGATGTAGACGACATGTGGTTTCAACAAGATGCTGGCACATGCCGTACAGCCCAAGAAACCATTCAATTACTGCATGAGTCATTTCCTGGTCGTGTAATTTCCCATTTTGATAATCAAAGTTGGCTGCCTAGGTCATGCGATGTAACGCCATAGGACTTTTTTTAGTTTTTTTTAACAATCCCACGACCAGCCACACTTTGAAAGAGGAAATTGAGTGCGTATCAACGAAATTCAGCCGCATCTATGCTGCCTTTGTATACTTTATGAAACAATAAAAATGTATAATGTTTAATTAAAAACCTGTTTCTTCTATCAAAATTGCATTTTGCGTGAGTTTTGGGACACCTTTTATTGACTTATTCATTGTAAATATTCAACCCTGTATTCGTATAATCTAAAAACATAAATACAAATATTCTGAATTCGAGTACTGCTTGAAAGTTGTACTCAGGATTCAAGTAATAATGAACACATTTTTTAACAGTTTTCTGTATTCATGAATTGAACTTTTTTTGTATTCATAACCAGCTTTACCCAGTGCCAAGCATTTTTCCACAAGAAAAACAAATAAAATGTGTTATTATTGGGACATTTATTAAAATTTATGAAAGCAAAAATCCTTACATCAAAAATATAAACTGCAATTGTATTTTTAAATACAGTTTACACAGAACTAAAATATTGTATTTACATAAACACAATGAAACAATATCTTACACATTAAATAAAATTACATACCTACCCTATAAATCCAACACAGTGAATACTTTTTTCAATTTCTGTTCCTTATTTGATACTAAGCTTCGGAAGAAGTAGGTGTGTAAAGCACAGGCGACACCTTTTCGCTCTGGCCCGACTTGGCGAGTTGTTCGTAAATGTGTTGTCTTCTTTCCATCTTCTCCACAGCCATCTGGGTCTTGAGACGTCTAATCGACCTAGCCAGAAGGTGGGAGAATATGATACCCAGGATCTACAAGTACAAGCACAAAAGTGTTAAATATCAGATCAACGAAAGAGTAGACAACCAACCTACCTGTATAAACGACACACATAAAGCTCCAACAGCTAAGAGTAAAGCGCACTCCGACACGATGTAAGTAATTCTATTGAGGCAACCAAACTCATAAATACTGTCCTCACTCGTGCAGCTCTCATTGATACAGCAGGTGTCAGGAACGAGGAAAATGGTGGTGTTATCGGTGCCTACTACTGTATTAAGGTCGTAGAGGTCGCTGACGTCGCTCCAATCTGATGGCCCGGTTACACCACAGCAACGCAACTGAAGGAAAAAAGGACAACGTAGTATTTAAAGGAATATCAGAATATGGCGATACTCACATTGTACTGCGTTGCGTTCCAGGTATACTGAGTGGTGTATGATTCGTTATATTGCAAAGAATTCAACATGTTTCTCTTAAGCGTGCTCTCCAAGTTACCTCTCATCACATAGGCGGCGATGCTGACGGAGACTTCCAAAATGAGGACGCAGAAAAGGAAGAAAGCATACTAAAATGATATAATAAAAGTGTTGCATATTTATCCAGAAGTCTAAACTAGCCTTCTAAATCATAGAGGCTTCCTTTCTATCAAAAAAATATATATTCCGATTATTCTGAGAATTACTGACATATTTAGTTCTATTAGGTTTGATGAAATTATTTAGCTTGAATTTAAGACAAATTGAGTTCTACAATGCTTAACTGAGATCCAGCAAATACATAAATTTCATAGAGCTGAATATTTCAAACAATATGGACAATAACTGTGAAATATGAAATACTTCTGGTATTACCTACATAATGACAAAAAAAATGGTGATCTTTTATCATAATCCCGGTATCATCTCATTGCGATATCTATATTGGATCTGCTTTTATGGTGTAATTATGATAAATATGCACTTATTATAAGAAAAATAAAGAGCAGACCATAATATAGACGAACTAAAAGTCAAGCAATTTGTCACCCTCAGGTAATGAAAATATTTCTCATTTTGTGTATTGGAGACTATAAAGTGGTCTTACCGTATTGACGAGACATACGCTCTCCTTGACAGCTCCAACGCACCCAAATAGGGCTACGAAGAAGATGATGACTCCAATAGCAATTGCCAATTTGGCCGCGCTATAATAGTGGTTCTCCATAAACACTTCAAAGTCTCCATAGATGGCTTTTATCGTCGTTCCGATGGATATTAGAAGGAAACCAACGAGCTGTAAAATGATTTTATAAAAAAATACTACTTGACGAGAAAATCTTTCGTTGAAATTATTGGAATTTAATTAATATCGCCAAACAATTAAGATACTTTGTTTAAGTAAAAAGAGATTATACCAACGTAAACATTCTAGATATTTTATTTCAAATTATCTTTGTACGACCTTATGAAGGGTATCGCTTAAACAATATTGTAATTGTAGTCTTTATCTCTCCTAAACATTGTCAAAATAAACAGGTATAAAATTACTTTTAAAGTACAAACGTATTCCATTTCATTGTATTTTATATTTATACCGGGTGATTCAGTTTGGTATTCGCGGCCCTGTATCTCTTTTATTTAAAAAAATAGCTATAACAAACCCCATATATTTTTAAATCGCCGCTCAAACTCTATCAAATGACATTATTAGATCGTCTCCATGGTAACATATGTCAAAATTGCTATAGTCAACTGTTTTTGTTCAAATGGCACAATCAATTCTGGAAGATATTTTTTTCTGCGTTCAACTATGTAAGGAAGTCTATAGTTTCATTAGAAGTAATGCTAGAAACACAGCAAAAAAGATGCACCCTACTTTTCGTAGCTTTATTCTGAAATATGATAGCCAGCTGCGAAAACAAGTTACTATGTTTTTTAAAGTAACATATTTTATTTTTAATACGATAATAAGATAACAATTTAAAACAATATTTATTTCAAATGTTCAAAATGACCTCCATGTGCTTCCAAACACAGAATAGCTCTGTTTATCACTCCCTCTCTACATTCTAGTGTTTCTTCATTTAATATCCGACATTCTACTCTTATTCTGTTTTGAAGGTCGTCAATATCATTTAAAGGCGAGGAGTAAACTTTTCCTTTTAGGTAAGGCCAAAGAAAGAAATCTATAGAAATGAGATCCAGAGATCTATAGCAGGCCATTTAACATCTGTATCGAATGTTCTTCATCTCTTACCCTTCTGGATTACCCATCTGCTGCCAAATTCCTGGTTAACTTTCCGAAAATTTTATCTGATGGAAGTTTTCTCTGTGGAAAACGATGTTGGTATAAATGCCTGGCAACTTTAGCGTTCTTTCAGCACTCTCCATAAATTAAAATCATATCTAGTTTTTCTTGGTTATTATAAGTATTCATGTTATAGTAATAATAATTAGTTATAGATAGAATAGGCAGGTACAAAATGTCAATTATTTTGAAAAACCGTTATTTAGAAACGTCAAAATTCAGTTATTTCCGCAGTTGGCTATCATCTTTCAGAATAAAGCTACTGAAAGTGGGATTCATCTCTTTTGCTGTTTTTCTAGCAATATTTCTAATGAAACTATAGACTTCTTTATATAGCTGAATTCAGAAAAAAAATATCTTCCAGAATTGATTGATTGAAAAAATATATAGTGTGCCATTTGAACAAAAATAGTTGACTATAGCAATTTTAACATATGTTCCAGGACCGTTCCAGAGAAAATATTCTGATCCATAATTCAACTTTAATTTACGAAAAAAAAAACGCAAAAATAGAACTTTTTCGTATATGACTTTTCTATTACAAATATCGTTAGGAAGCTGTAGTTTAATGTTTATAGATTATACACGTCATACTCTGTACAATAATAGGTAGCACTACTAAAAAAATATAGTAGAACTATTATAATATAAGGAAGAATATTTCATATACATATTTGACTATGGCGTCAATTACAATCAAAGGTGGAACCGTAAGAATATTTATCTCCGACAAGTACTGATTTTCGACGGCAGTTTTAAAATACAGAAATTCCATAAAATACATAGCAGAATATGGGACGTTCAGAAAAGTAGACTTTGTACTTATCCAAATAGCTGAAAACATATTTCGACGATTGTACAGCTCCCGAAGGTGATGACTAGGTCGATTTCGATATTAACAAAATAAGGACTTTCCCCGTAACAATAGAATCAATCAATCACCAATCAATACCCATATCTACCCAACAATTCTCTGTAAAATTATCTCGCGATAAAAATAAAACACAATTACACTTCAACAAATTATAGCTTTAACTGCCTTATCAGATATTTGGATTAGCAGATAAGTATAATATTTTATTTGCCACTCTTAAAAATATTAATAAAAATGGTAATAATATAGATACATTTATTATTATGCAGCTCTAAAACGCGTCATACAGATACCCATATCGTATGAAAAAAAAATACTTAGGTACCAGAAGGATTTTAATTGGGCTTGGTTATTTCTGCAAATTGGAGCATGTGCTATCACAAGTTTCTCGCGTGAACATCAAATTCCCTATCCTATGTATAGTCTCGAAGCATTAGGAAATGTAGTTACTTACCACAAACATAAAATTCGCCACGAATAACATATATTTGACACATTTCATGCCAACTTCTAGTTCGGCCTGTTTAGCCATTTTTGATCTTTTGGATTTGTTTTTCACTATACACTTGTTCACTGGTATTTGTCAAATTTGTACTGTGCGTTGAAATATGGAATCATGCACTTGGCTAACGTGTACCTACTGAGGTGCCTCTTATCACATAGATAAGGATAAATTTATTATGTGTTATATTTTACCTGCGAAACGATTTAGTAGGTTTGGAGAAAATGGTCGAGCACATCAGGATAGGAACATATGATGCCTATAGCATTCACTGTATATGGATTTCTTTAAAACAAAAACCATATATGAATTTTCTTTAATTTAAACAATTATTTATACTTCCTTGCAAATTTATTACAATTGCCTTATGAAACCTAACCAGAAACTTTAAATAAAATAATAAAGGTTTATTAGAAGTATTTACATTAAGTTTGGCGCATATATATTATACAGGTAATTCAAACGCAGCCATTCACTTATAAAAGAAACTAAAAATTGATTATTATCTATAATATATGGAATAAGAAAGAATAAAAGGAAATTGGAATGTACTATTTTTGCTGGCTGCAACTTATTATTAGGCTCATCTGCAAGATGTGTTGCCTACATTCTGTAAAAAATATGCGTCAAAAACAAGAAAACATTTTAAATGAACATGTGTACATGAATTTTTTGACATCAACACTAAGTGCAAGTGAAATTCACTGAATTTATACACAATTATGGCAACTAGTGATGGAGACAGTGAGAGATGTCGTCGTTAAAAACATTGGGTCTCGACAACACTAAGTATTTTGGAAATTGGATAGGATTTAACTCCTGGTTATGTTTCAAAGAAAAAAGACCTCTAGCTTAGTTTGTAAGTTTCCATGGCAATTGTCAATGGCAGAGTAATTTATGTGCTGACTATCACGTTGTCAGTTCTTGACTTTTCGGGAGGCATATCGCTGTTTACTTCAGATATTTTTCGCCTAGTCATTCCTGTGATTACTAATTTAACAGTTTGTAACACTTATTGTTGACCATCCTCGTAAATTCTGTGGTTTGCTATCGTTAGTCCATGGTCTACGTAGTTAGCTAGTTATAACTTTATAGACTATGGTCCGTGGTCAAACTGTATTTTGTTCCGTCTGTTCGGTTAATTCTCAATAAGCGAACGCTTATCAAGGTGGTACTTCAACCGCAGCTAACCTACGCCTCCACGGCGTGGGGTCACGCGGCAAAAAGCCACTTAAAGTCATTACAGGCTGTGGAAAACATAGCCCTCCGCACGGCCACCGACGCGCCCTGGTACGTAAGAAACACTGACATATTACGAGACTTACAATACACAAACGCTACACAGACAATAAGACAAAACGCGGAGAAACGATTTGACGTAGCCGCTAGACATGACAATCCCCTCCTCAGGCAAGCCGTTGACTACGTACCCGACGTGACCGACAAACACAAAAGACCTAGACACCAACTTTTTGACCCTGGGTGACCACCCCAATGACCCCCCCCCTGCCCGCTAACCTTTTCTGTTTCAGAGACAGCCAGGATCAAGAAACGAAGACAACGACACACACACACACACACACACATACACACCCCCCATACCCTCCTTAACCCTCCCCTCCCGCGCTAGCCTAAGGGCCACCTTAGCAAAGCGCATCCCAGGCTGCATAGCCGCACTACCCTACCCAACCATACCACACATAAACATGACACTACCCCCGGGGTTTACACAGACGAGCCGGCGAAGCAAGAAGAGCGCCAGAAGAAAGGGCCCTAGCCGGCGGGGCCCAGCCAGGACAAAAGGAGGTCCCACAAAGCGCCTACACCGGCCGCATTTGCGGTCGGGGTAGACGACGGATGGGGCCCACCTACGAAGGCTGTCCAGGCCTACACGAGATGAGGCAGGATAAAGAGGGATAATCCCCCTCGATCCCAAATCATTGAGGCCAATTTCTAGCCATAGAATAATGGCGCGCGCCTAGTCATTCCTGTGATTACTAATTTAACAGTTTGTAACACTTATTGTTGACCATCCTCGTAAATTCTGTGGTTTGCTATCGTTAGTCCATGGTCTACGTAGTTAGCTAGTTATAACTTTATAGGCTATGGTCCGAGGTCAAATTGTATTTTGTTCCGTCTGTTCGGTTAATTCTCAATTATTCCAGACAATATACAGTTTAAGAATGAAGTTAAGATTAATCTGTTAACGGTATTGCTGTCCACATGTAATTTAAATAATAAATAACATTTATAGATGTCAAAAACTGTTCCTTATTGAAAAATTGTCCATGACGAAAAAAGCTCTAACGAAATTTACGAAATAAAAAATTCAGATATGCGTAGTCCTCCTGAGACCACAAAAACAGTGTTTTTTCTTAATTTACCACGAATTTTAAATTTTGTAAGAAAACAGTTGTTTGTATCCACGAACTAATTATTTAAAAAGTATTATGTAAATCCGTTTTGAGATTTAATGGGAGGCTAACGGTATTTCATTTTTTTTTCGCAAATTTGGTTCGTCCTTTACAGTTTTATTTGCGTTGCTTACGAAATTAACTTATAGTGATTTAAATATATAAACTACAGGAAAAACGACAAATTTGTGGCTTATTAAAATTACGTTTAATTCGAAAAGTGTCTATTTTTTGAGTTCACGAAAGTATAACTTTTTTGTGCTTTTCTTTATTTTTGTTCAAGACTGTACATACAGAGTGGTCAAAAAAGTTATGGCCATTTTGATGACCCAATGTTGCTGTAGGTGGCGTCATCTAGCCGCAATGGTGAAATTGAAGAGAATTTCATCGAAATCCGTTAAACAGCTTTCAAGATATTTCAAAAAATAATTGTAAAGAAAGTTAATGGACCACCCTGTAGAACAAAAACGAGTAATATTTTGCCAAGGCATGTTAGACTCGAACGCTTTATTTTGATGTCAAATATCACCCCTTAGCTAATGTTCAATTAATTATGGTACACTCTGTACATAATCAGAACTGTTTAATTTATTAATTAATTTCACAATATTACTGCTTATCTGTCATCAAAAATTCTAGAAATTGAATGACATTACTTTTCATTCACTATTCAGTTATAATGTATAAGGAATTAGAACGTTGTGAAGTATATTCAAGTATGCGAAGTATCTACAAATATTTTAAGTATTAGATAGTCGGTAAACAAATAACCATTGACTTCAAAAACAAAAAATTCCATACACGTAGTTATAACACTAATAAAACAATTAAATATATTGTAAAAAAAATTTTATTATTCTGATATTCTCATGGAAACTTTATTAGAAACATAAAAAAGCTGAAAGAATTTTAAAGTTGCACGATATACAGAATTTTTTTTTTATTGGGAGTCATATTTCTTAATCACAACTAGTAAAGCAGAAAGAGAATGAGGAATGATCTTCATAACGGCTAAATTGAAAGGAAGCAGTTTGACGATAAAAATCTTTGATACAAGCGCACAAAGATGCGTATATCTAGACATGGAACATTGTTTTCCTCCACATTATCTACTAATCGCGGATATTGACATATTAATGATCGATAAGAAGTTATAAAAAATAATTTCCGAGTAATAAATTTGGAATCCCATAAGCTGGGTGCCCATATCAGTACTTGACTCGCAAAATATTTTATATTCAGTCTGACGAACTAATTGATTTTTTTATTTGCAAAACTTAACGATTACGACTTGCTCAAGAATTTTTATTGATAATTTTGAAATATGTCATCGTAAATGCTACATTTTTTGGCTACAATTTATAGCTAGATGAAAAATCAACTCGTAATTTGAAAATATTTACATTTTGGCAAAAACTTTCGCATCTGCTTTTTGGCAGTGGAAATGAATATAAACATGCCAATAAAATAAATATAAGTAAAAACGGAACAGCAAAAATGTTGAGGATACTTTTTAGAAAAGTTGACAAGTGCAACTGGAATACTGCGGAATTTAAGCTCACTTTTACTTTTTTTTTATTAAACACCTCACGTAATAATTTCCTATTGATGACTGATAAATATGATGTAAATTTCCATAATATTTTACATATTTGAATTTGTTTTATAAACAAAAATGTAAACGAAGTGAATATACAGTACGTTATGTAGAATTACGCGTTTGAGTATACTATTTGGATTTTATTGTTTACTTTTGCAACAAAAAGTATCGTCAAATAATGTTCATCGATACCAGAAAATTACTACCGTGTGTAATTTTACATATAATTTTTGTCATTCTAATACACAACTGCATTTAGATCTTACGACACCAAGGCCGACTTAAGTGTAGTTATTTTTAATGTATGAAGCTGCTAAAGAGTTTATCCAATTTAACACTTTTGGCAACAACAAGCCCCATTTACTGTCGACCTGGCTGACTCGTATTTCTTCAGTCAACAGCTTGCAACTCAGATTTGTCATCGATTCTACGTAGATGACAAGTGACCGCAAAACTACCGAAGCAATATACAGAGCTGCCTTAAAATTTTGTATATGTTCTGCTGATATAACGAAATAATTTTTAAAAAGTATTGGATCACTAGCAATACGATCATGCTCTGTCTCTTTTTCCGAATTCAAAAAGACTTTTTTCCAACAATCCATTTTGGTGTATACTTATTAAGGTTATAGTGGCAATATTTTATTGGTGATCTTTATGGCATATTTTGACAAAATTTTAAAAAATATTAACTTCCATCGAACCATTATATTTCATAAGAGTCGTAAATAAATATCTTTAGTAGCCACAAATTATAACCAGCTTATATTTGCGACGACAATTTTATATCTTTTGGGTCATATTCAAAATCAATATGAGTCTGGTGTATCCATGCGCTTTAGTAAATATAAAAAAATAAACAAAATATGCATTCTCTGGATGATAAATATTTGGAGATGATTCATTCATACCGGGTGTTTTCTCTTTGGATCATTTTAGATCAAAAGACCTGAACGAAACGGGGAAATAAATCAACTATTTTTGGAGACATAAGATGTTGAAAAATAAAGATATTTGATAGATTTACCTAATTAAAGGCGAAATTAGGCTACAGATACAATAATAAAATGATTTTATTTCGAATATACGTTGACGTATTTTATCATGTTAATTCAATCCAAAAACTGCTCTATTCTATACTGCTCTGCTCTATAATATACCTGCAATTTAGCTGTCCTAAACTTATTTCACGATTTACATTGAAGAATTTAAAACCATTTATTGTTATTAAATATAAGTTTAGAGAACATCCTGTATATATACGTGCAGTGGCGCATTATCCACTGGACAATATGGACATTTGCTCAGATTTAATTTTTTGGCGAAGTCGCCAGTTGCAGAGAACTATTGTTAATTTTCAACAATTCCCCAAATTTGAAAATGTTTACTTTGTTTAGGGGATCCCTGGAAAATTCTTTACCTCATTCTTTAAGTTGCTCAAATGCTTCAGCTAATTTTTTCGTTTTCTGCACGCCTATCTAGTCATCATTTAGCAAACAAATGAACCAACATTGTTTTGTTGAGAAGATCCGCTAACAGAAAACTAATCCATTTTAAACAACTATTTGCACGCAGTGTGTATCTTTTATTTTTTTATCATGATACGTGTGTCATTTTTTTCCAACAAAATTTCACAGTTATCATTTTACCATATGCAAAATCATGCGTGGGTCACTTTCAGATTGCTTGAAATTGTTTTGTTCCGCAATTGACATAGACTTATCTATTACGATCAATGTTCACATAAAATAACAAGCAGAATCCTGATTTACTGATACGCAAGGAAGAACACTTTACTTGAAGTCGTAATTTATTGAAACTCTTTATTTACTTCACTAATAAACAATATTTTAAAGTGTATTTTATGTTTACACAGTGAAATGTCTTACTCAGTAAAATTGTTAGCTTTTTTAGCTAAAAACAATGGCAAAATAGATGCCAGCCAAGGAATTTACTAAGATAGGACAGCTTACATTAATACTTTGCGTTAATTATAATCATAGCAGAACTACACTATAAAAAGTCTTAATATTGTTATGTCTCTACCTAACATCACCAAATTTTCGTCAGTCACTAGCTTTTATCAAAAAGGAAGTTTTCAGAAAAATCAATAAAGTTAACAATGATGTTCACTTAACTTTCAAATTTAATATAATATACAGTACCTACGTAATATTCTCTCATCCTAATTATTAGGCGGGATAAGGTGGTGGCGTAATATAATCTCGTAGACTGCTTTAGCGAATAGGATCGATTTGTGTTGGCAAACCTTATAACCACTATTTAATGCATACTTGAGGAAAACCTTTATCACCAATCATGAATCATTTCATTCAGTACAATGAATACTCTTACCCACAGAGTTAGTAGCTTGCTCGTTTCTTAAAAAGCAATAATGTTCAGTCATAACGACATTCAAAAGATAGTGAAATTTCGTTGAGCTAAACGGGTAATGGACAAAACAAAATGGAAATGTACAAAGATATTGACGTATCTCTTTTACTATCATACTTAGAACAAAATGGAAGGTTCGAAGTTTTAGGTAATTTTGTTGTGATTTGAGAGTAGTATTTCCTTTTTTTAAATCGAATAGTCTGTGCATTTTTATATCTTTTGATAGAACAATTTCTCAGGATTACAGTGATGTAAGATTATATAGGTACTCCCCTAATGTTAACGGTCATATCCAAAATAATCTGAATAAATATGTGACAAAGACTGTCAAGAAAGTAACAAAAATTACTACTCCGTTACTATTAGAAATAGACCTTTCTAACCTGTATAACTGTATACTGTACTGTACTGTATACTGTAACTTTATTTTTTAAAAACACAAGCTGGTTTGTATCTCCAAAATTTAACAATCAATTGCTTTGGTTTTACTTTAAAATAGTAATAACATCTAAATTTTGTGCTATGTGCTATGTGCATGTAATGTTCCTACTAACTTTTTATCGTGATAACGTTGACAATGTTTTTCAGTTATATGCATTCCAACAGATATTTCGAGAGAAAATTTCCGTTGTTATCATTTTGCGATATTGTTTTCTTCCGCTGCCTTCTCTTGACGGAGCCTTATCTGGATAGCTCCAGGAAAATATATTGAATTGCATTGAATTGATCAGATGCTGCATAGATTACGGAAATTCAGAAGGTTAAATTATGCCGCAAAGGACGATAGTTATCCGCTGCTGGGGACAAACACGTTGTCTAGATCTTAGTGGTTCGCCTCCTTGACATGAAAAGCGGTTATTGGCAAGTCCAACTTTATCCAAATGACAAATAAACGACAGCATTTTCAATAGAGATAGATTTGTGGCAATTCAAAGTGATGTCATTTGGACTTTGTAATTCTGCATGGTGTGACTTAAAAGACTTGTCTAATATATATATATATATATATATATATTCGAAGAATGTCAAGAAAGTACTTTAAAAGTTGAAAGAAACTAAACTGCAATTAAATTAAATTAAAATTAGATGTTCATGCTCTTTCAAAAAAATATCAAATACTTAGGTCACGTTGTTTCTTCTGATGGAGAGACTGACCCTTAGAAAACGGAAATTTGTTAATGGCCACTACTTAAAGACAAACATAAGTTAGGAAGTTTTCTGGGACTTTGCACTGGCGACAAGAAGTTTGTGAAGAATTTTTCCGAAAGTACCAATCTTCTACAATGGATCGCTGAAAATAGTCAATAAGCTTTAAGTCCTATCATTTCCTAAGCCCAAAAGACGTTTATTGTAGGCACTGGCGCCAGCTATACTGGAATTGGGGGTATATACAAGTATACAAGTAGAAGACAACCATAAAAAGGTGATTTCCTATTTCAACAAAACTCTTTCGCAAGGGGTGACGTACTGCGTGATTAGGAGAGAGTTACTTGCCATTGTTAAAACTGTGAAGTATTTTCACAAATATCTCTATGGTCAACCATTCGTCTTGAAACTGATCATGCTTCATTGAAGTGGATTCAAGAACCCGAAAAGCTAAGTTGGAAGATGACTTCGACGTTTGCAAGAGTACGACAAAATTAACAACCAGAGAGGATCTAATCATCGCAATGTATATACCCTTATCCAAGACACTATATTGTCCAGGTTGCAGGGTTCTGCGATAGGAAGCAAGAGAATAGGATGATGAGTTTATTTGCCGAAGAACTATCTTTCAGGACCCAGATTGGATAATTCGTCCAAAGTAGTCTGTGTAAACGCGCTCTTGATCTAATCTGCTCTTACGGCTCATAACTTAGAGGTCAATTCTAAACAATTAACATACCTCAAATAATGTATGTAACAATTTTTTGAGATACAAAGTGGTCAATAACTTATCAGATTTATCAACAATTTTTCTATACCGAACATAGCTAAAGCACTTAACATTTCTTAAAAATATCTTTATCTTTTTTAATTTAAGATAATGCTCATTCTCAATTACTGTCATATAAAGGATAAACAATATTTTTTAAAATTTCACACTTTTAGAAAGAGTAATACACAAAATTGGTGTTAATAAACAGCTGTAGGCTATTAATACTGTATATTCCGTATATTAATAAATTTAAAATAAATGACGTACTATTAATTAATTACCGAACCTTAGCCAACTTTCTAACATAATTTTATGTATTGAATCTTGTGTTTTAAATATTTGTTGACGTTTATGAACTGAAAAAACGTCCATCTGATACTAAACCACTTACAACATACTAGAGGAGTAAGGTAGGTACTTCACTTGACTGCTTAAAAGCTTAATATAATAATTGCAATTGATAGTGAGCATAAAGAAGAAACATAACAAGACTCGAGGATCAACTGACATCGAATGTTTCGTGCCAATTCGTATAAACTGAAACAATGTTCCCTCTCTCATTTTCTTTAATTCCCATGTGCTATGGTGTATATCTGTTGTATTCCAAGCAACTCATTTAGGTAAGAAACTCGGCTTTGACCTTGAAGGACAATTTAGAAGTTGACCCTCATGGCTACCACAAAATAAATTACAGGAAAAATACAGATATATCCTTAAATATAAACATTTTTTTTCTAGTAATACATACCTTTTTTATCGTTTATTTATGGAATATTTTGAGCAAATTGCCCTTTATAGAAACTGTCAGTGGTTCTTAATACGTGCAAGTAAAGGTTTTTGTTTTTTTTTATCATAATACATGTCTCATTTTCTTACTAAATACTATTAAACTGAGACAAACGCTGATAATATTTTTGAATTATACGCATTCCAGTAGATATCATGAAAGAAAATTTCCGTGGTTATCTCGTCGCGACAATGTTCTCTTCCTCTACCTTCGCTCAACAGCCTTATCTCCTATGATCGATGGCTCCAGAAAAATACATTGAATGACAAGTAGAATCCTGGCTTACAGATTTGTAAGGAGGACGGCTTTGCTCGAAGTCGCAGATTTGCGAAAACTCGGCGCAGTACTACACGTTATTTGCGATTCACTAAATAAAAGATCCCTTATCTGGCTCTGATAAACGTGACAGGTGATATTTTAAAAACATTGCGACACACGTTTCCAAGTTCCAGCAAAAACTTTTTAGTCACCTTAATCTCCTCGCAATAAAACTTTACGGCTCCGGCACCGCCGATAACAACAATATAACTTCTGTGATACTCGCCATCCAACGCCCGCTTTATTTTGGTCTGGCCCGCGAAGCAGGAATAGGCGAAGGCAGGTTTATTTAGACTTCGACTGTCAAGCGATTTTTGCACATTGCCAAAGACCGAGCGGCAGTCCGTAAACAACTTGTGAGGCGAAGGCATGTGTCTGTGACCGGCGGCCATGTGGTAACCGGGCGATTCCTCCAGGTCCTAGGAATAGACGCGAGAACGCTCTCAGAATGTCTTTGCCGTTTCTCAAGAGACGAAGGGTGAGTTGGCTTTGATCGTCCCCGAATCGTTCGATTAATGTTCTTGTTTTTTTGTTTTAGAGCTCTTCGATCAAGAAGGAGTTCTCTCAAAAGGAACTGGAAGGTGAGTAAACGAGATTTTTGTATTAATTGTGTTGTGTTTGCTATTTTGAAAAAACTATTCAAAGTTAAGACATAAGTATGTACATAACTTTTTTTTTATGAGTCACATGTTTGACGAATTACAATTATCATAGAAATTTAGTAAAATAATATCTGCCAAAATAAATTTGGTACCGAAAACCGACAATTTATAGCGTTATACATATACAATATGTTACAAAAAAGTAGATCAAGCCGTTAACTAGATTTTTTAGGTGAAAATAATAGGACTTGTTTTGTGGCAATTTTCATTTGGGCACTTATTTTTCAAAAATGACAGTAACTTTTTTCCTTATGATGGCATATACGTGTAATTTTGGTAAACGTTCTTTGTGAAAATTGAGGAAAAAAATATCGCTACTCATTGACCCTCAAAATTTTTCTGCCTCACTTATTATGGTTTAACGATATTATTTTTTAAACTAAACATTTCTTTATATTATTTTTCACTCCTACAAAATTTGTTCTGATTTAGAACTTGGTTGACGAGATGCTGTAACTTTTTCCGATATGTGCTACTGTTACTCTTTCTATTTAAAATTCAAAATTTTCCTTAGACGACGGACTAACCTTGACAAAAATATCCTGGGATAACACCAATTTTGATACGTTTCTTCACCACATCTAACAACAAATTGGCATTAGAATACACATTTGTCTCTAAACTCTCTAAATTTTTTATCCTTTGCTCCTCTAAATAGACGTTGAAGTAGACAAGAAGGTGCAAGGTAATTAAATACCCTACACATTTCATTTTTGACAGTTCCTATTTGTTTGTACATATGTGATATAAATTTTCAATATTAATTTCTTATGTTTGTTTTGTTTTTTTTTTTGAGCAATAAATTTGGAATAATACTAACTTAAAACATCTCAAATTACATTAAGTAAATTATGAGTATATTTAATTAAAACTTCGCCAAAATTAGTTAATATGTAAAACGCAATTTTTTTATGCTCTAAGCGTGGTCTAAAACATAAAAAAACTATTTCCTAAGAAATTACAAAATCCCGTAAACTAAATCTTAAATTAAAATGATGTAAGAATGAAAAAAATAAAATTAGGACAAAACAGTAAGGCATATACGGGAAAAAGTTGCGAGAGTCAGAGGGTACTATGATCCCTTTCCTCCGTTCGCGCTTCATTCATTTTACTACAATTATTTAAAAGATATGTCAGCTTAAGTTAAAACTCTGTGCAAAAGTACGACTTAATGACTCAAAAAAACAGAATTATTAATACAAATCAATTTTAGTTATAAGTTTGACACCGTTTATCTTGAAAATGAAGCTCGTAAATGACAAATGGCATAAGGAAAACCTCATTATATTCACTCAAAGAATCTATGGTTAATAACTTCAACATTTTTCGACACCCTGTATACCCAAATCATTTAAAAATGGATATCTTGTGTCATATAATTTTGTTAGTTTTTTCATTTTAATATAATTAATAATAATTCTGAATTTGGTTTAAGACGCTAATCATTTATAAGAATATTTTATTTAGAATATTGATTACCTTGGACTTCGTTTTGAGTTACAAAGCAACTCTCGAATTGTATCTATTTTGTTATAATTTTTTAAATCACGTCTATAGAAAAATATAGATTCTTGTATAATACAAAATGATATCAAGAGATTATAGAATGATGTTTATTTACTAATTTTTAAATTCCTAAGTTCTTGTTGTAATTCCACTTTAACTCAATAATCGAATGCTGATTTGTTGAAATAGCAACTTCGTGTTAAGATTTTGATTGTTTCTTTGGTATCTCTAATTTCTGTACACATACAATGTATACATAATCCACTATTATGTACACATTGTAAATTGTACACGCCCTGGGAAATATACATACATACATATACAGGGTGTTAATGATAAGTTTTGCCAAACTTTAATGGCGTATTCTACCGATGAAAATGATCAACTTTTGCCCTATCAAAATTTTTGATATGACGCTTCTCTACGGAGATACAAGGTGTTAAAAGTTTCAAATATTTATATGATTTTTCCTTTTTGCAACACACAAAACAGTGGCGTTGTATAGTGTTTTGAAATCTCTCAAAAATATTAGGCATTAGACTTATTGTTACACATTTAGCAATCAATAGAAAATGGTAAATAGCAACGTAGGTACTTATACTTAAGTATCTTCTTATTTGATTTCCCAATTATCTAAAGACCAGTAAATTTTACGAATACTTTACAAGAATACTTTATTGCCACAAATTGATTGTACATTTTAAAAACATTTAAAATTATTTAAAAAACCAGTGGCGTATAATTTTTTTTTCAAAAGAGGTTCCCTACTTCCACAATAACTGCGCCACTGGAGTGTGTTTTGTAATAAGTTATCCATGAAAAAATAGTCCCTACTAAAAAAATGTCCCCGAAATTCTATCACTCAATCTTTTACGTCAGTGAAGTTACAGGAAAAATAATATAAATATTTGAAACTTTTTAACACCCTGTATCTCCGTAAGAAAGCGTCTTATCAAAAATTATTATAGGGCAAAACTTGATTATTTTCATTGGTAGAATACGCCATTATCATTAACACTCTGTATAAAAAGTTGCGACCTGATTCTCCTGTCAGCTCGGACAGTAACAGTTTGAAAAATTACATTTCCACGTCTATCATGTTCCAGATTGTTTCTCGGTCCCCGACCCCGGTTTATTTTTATTTAATTACATTTACTAGATATTTATTTTTATTTAATTGGGCCTTTCAAGCACTTACGGGTGGGCTAAATTTGGAACACTTGCTCACATATAGGTATTCAATTCCGATTAGAAATGCAACGAGAAAATATAGGAATCAGTCCAATGTAACTAGATTTTTTAAAGCAAAATCTCTTATCTTCACAAAATTTCCCAGAGGTGCATTCAAATTAGAAGATACTTCCGGTGAAATTACTAAAGAATGTCAGTACTATTTCTGGAAAACACGTGAAGATGAATATAACCGTTAGCCTAACAAAGATCCTTTGGGTGAATTTGCGAACGGCAATAATTTCTTTAAACATAGTATGAGTATAGTCATTTTCACCACCAAGAACCAAATACTAGCCTTACTATAAACACATACAAGTTGAATAATATCGACTACCATAACTTAGCTGCCACATAAAAGAAATTTTCGTCTTGTATTTTAAGACACCTTGTACGTATATTAATTTAATTAGAATTTTTAACTTGTTTTGACAATTTAGCCTGAAACGTGAGTATGAAATACCACCAATAAATTACTCTGATATATCTTTATCCACGTTTCACACATTTTAAATAGAGATATCGTAAAATAAGACAATAGAAGATTAGTGCCAGATAACAAAACAAAATTATGAGCTGTATTCTAAGGATAATATAATTAAACATTTATAGTTTATTGCTAATTTGAATATCTAGACTTTATTTTTTAATGACAAGTAACTCAATAATATAATTCTGGATAATCCGAAGATAAAATTTATTTTTAAACGTATTCAAAATCTACGTGTCAACATATTTGAAAAATCACGTGAATGCGGTGTTGGTATGTATCAAGGTATTAAAACTAAATCATGAACGTACCTGACACATCTTGTGGAATATTTCTTAGAATACAGAATCTTAGAAGCTTATACTATAAATGCTCCAGGTTTTGTTGACATTTATTTGTTTAACATCTACTTACGGCTACACAAAACATTATCAACCTTGAAAGGTACACAGATAAAAGATTATAATAGCAAAACCAATAAACTCGGCTAAATTACTGCGTTAAAAACGACTCGTCCTTAATATATTTGCATATACAGGGTGCTCTGTTTAAGGACTAGCCACCAATGTATCTTTTGTTTTTATATTTTTCGATTTTGATCTCAAAGAAGTGCATCGGGAACATGTCCATTTCACTTTGCAAATCAAAATCTTGGTGAACCGTGTTCATTAAAATATTACTTTATTATTAGACATTATAATACAAAAATAATTTCAATAGATTTTTGCACAAGGTAACTGGAAAAATAAATATACTATCAGTTTTTGTAGTTTAAATATTTTTTTATACGACTGCCTTGCAAAAGGGGGTTTTGCGCACGGAAAACACGCTCTGAAAACGGTATTTTGCACACGGTTATGTCATCTTTGCACACGCGTCTCCAGATTGTGATTTTTGTTTGATGTTGTCACCCAAATTATGCAATGTTTCAAGTTGGCTGAGTTTCATAGCAACCGTCACGGCTCCTTTATTTTGTTGATTAGATACTTCAAAAATTGTTGAATTCCCGAAGTTTGGGTGTGAAAATGTGTGATTCTGAAGAGATTTTACAGAAAGCAAGCGAAATATGTTCGGAACTGCTGCCCACAAAATCCAGAAGCAGGTATGAAGCTGAGTTAAGCCGATTTATGGACTGGCGACTAGCCAAAAATGTCCAAACTTTCTCAGAAAACGCAGTAATGGTGTATTTTGAAGAACTATCTAAGAAATATAAATCTTCGACGTTGTGGACGATTTTTTCGATGCTCAAGTCAACGTTAAGTGCCAATCACAACATAGATCTTGGAAGCTATAAAAAGTTGCAAGCGCTAATCAAACGAAAATCCGAAAACTACGTCCCAAAGAAGTCCCAAATCCTCACAGAAGATGATTTTTGCCGGTTTTTGACGAAAGCATCAGACGACAAATATTTACTTATCAAGGCGGTGGTGGCAGTTGGACTATCTGGGGCATGTCGAAGGGAGGAATTATGTTATCTCAAAATAGAAGACACCAAAGATTTCGGCAGTGCTATGCTGATTAAACTGAAGAATACAAAAACAAAGGTACCAAGGTGTTTTACAATTACAGGAAACCTTTACACTATCTTAAAAAAGTACTGTGCTCTTCGTCCTCCTAATCTGAAGACAGGCAGGTTTTTTTTAAACTATCAAAACGGAAAATGTTCAAGCCAAAACGTTGGCATCAACAAAAT